AGGCTCACATCGAGATACATTTAGGGGGACGTCTTTGGTTGTTGCAAGAAGACCGAAAGGCGGAAATACGACCGAAGCAGCTGAGTCGGAATCTCCTACGCCCGAGAACATGTCGAAGACAACCACGTCTGGACGAGCAATGGAGTGATACCACTTGGTAATTCAAAAACGCGCTAATGATGGACCAAGCTCAAAGCTAAACTGTTGATATTTCGTTAAATCTCAGCCACAGCAAGTTGTGGTCGCAAGACTCTAGTTTTGCTAGGTGTACTTGGAGCGTGAACGCACAGTTTGTACGATAAAGATGACGAATGAGCCCAACTTCTAATAATAAAGAGATTATTATCTTTTCCGCGGTGTCTTCTTATCCCCCCTCCCTCTGACTGTTTGCCCGACGATCTCCTCCAGTAAGCTGTTTCTGACATGAAGCCCCACTTATCCAGAACACCCGCCACCATCACAACCTTCATCTCCATCTCCGCCGTACCTTCATCCAGAATCGTGCTCTCCGTGGTGAAGGTCGCAAATGTGAACTCTTCGAGTTCACGGTGGGGCATAGTGGCAAATGTCTAGTTTACAGTTAAACTAAACAACCCATGGCTCTTACTCCTCCCTTGTGAAAACAATACTACCTGCAGTAAGTCTGCATACCTAGCACCATTTGTAAAAATCATTCGTGTCCAAAAAATTACAAGCACTCTACTGTAATACTAAATGGCAGGCCTTCCTTCGTTCCTGTAGTTTTTTACTTGATTTTTTTTAAACCGATGTCGTAGCGCTCTTGCCCTGCAATAAACCAGCAGAAGATTTAGCAGAGTCTCCATCTTCCGAGTCAGTGTCACTGTGTTCGGCTACCTTCTCGTGTTCTCCCGCGGCGAGGCTTGCGAGTTTGCGAGAAATCCTCTGCGCCAGCAACTGCGACGGATATTCCACGAGGTGATACGATATTGTCGCTAGCATGATCACCAGAGCGAAGATGGAGAAGGTCCGGTCGTAATAGTTGGCTTGGTACTTGATAGGCTTGGTGAAGATCACGAACACGTGCAGAAGGTAAACGGAGAAACTGATCTTGCCCAAGTAGCGTAGCACGACCCATTCGAAGATTTCTGCCACAGTGGACGGCCGAATCATCTCGATCACAATCAACAGTGACAACTTGACGCTCGTGAACGGCATGATATACCGCGTGTCAGGCGGTAGTGGCATACCCAGCCAGTTGAAGAACAAACCGCGAAAAACTACACTAAGGTAGGCTGCAATCAACACTGCCTCCACAATTCGAAGCGCGACAATGTGCGGAGTGAGGAACTTGAAGCCGCTGGACTTAATCCACGTATCCACCTTCACGAAGATGACAGCAGCCATCGAGCCTGCCACAAACGTTGGCAGGTGGGCGCTCAGAGGCTGACGGTAGAAGTTGTCTCGGATCGTGTATAGACCCTCGTGAATGACCCAGGCATACAGTGGAATGAACGACATCCACCAGAAACGCCCCATCTTGAGCACGGCGAGAACAAACGCAGGTAGGATGAAGTAGTACGAGATCTCGAGGGGTAGAGTCCACAGCAAATAGTGTCGATGTTCCGGATGAAAAGTGAGAGTTTGGAACAGATTAAAGTCCTCGGGCTTCTTCACTAAATAGTACTGATTCTTGTACTCGAACGGCATGAGCCACAGTGTAATTGACAACAGAGCGAACAGCGGGTACACTCGAAAGAACCGCTTCGAGAAATAGTCGATCAGTGTGAGCCCCCACTTTCGGTAGGATGCCGCCTCGGCGATCAACTTGATGCTTTTCTTCATAAAAATCATGGTCAACAGGAACGAAGACAAGACGAAGAAGGCATCCACACCGACAGCGCCCATGAAGATGTCGTGCATATATCCAGAGTGCTGGGTCACTACAAACACTACCGCAGCTCCACGCACTCCATCCAAGAACAGAATCTTCGACACCGGTGACAACGGACGTTCGTTTGGCTTGTTACGTGGGAATCCTTCCTCAACCTTGGTTATTTTCGTGTTGTGGATTGTCGTATTGGAAGCCTTCTCTTGCAGCGGCACCTCCTGTTTGGTCCCGTCGTCTTCGATGACTTGGATTGCATGCATCATGATGTCTGTGGGGCTACCAAAGAATGCCGCAACAAGGCTTAGCCAGTGTGTTGGAAAGTCGAAGAATGAACTGTGTCCGCAAGCACAAGTATAGTCAACAGCACGGCTGGCTGGGATGACGGAAAAGGCTACTCGTTTCTAATCAAACGCGAAATCAATGCGGGATGGTACAGATTTGCCGTCGGCAATCATCTTGTCCGTACGGCAAATTACGCATAGAAAGCAAGGTTATTAAAAATGTCGTCATATGTCCAGATGATATACGGAAAGTTCAATTCTAAGATGCAAACAGCAGGACAACTGTGTGGCAGCGCTTGATACTTGCCTGTAAATGGGTGCAACATGAGATAACGAGGTGTGATCGTTAATAGGAAAAGTCATCACTGTTGTGAATATATCGTAAGTTTAACCACCGGTAAGTTTTGCACGCGGTACGTGATACTACGTGTGTAGTAGTATTATAGATCGTCGTGCATTGCACGACGATCTATTGTGAGCTTATTGAATCCGACGGTCAGTCGGGTCCACCTCGACGTTGAAGGCTCAGTACGGAGAAAGAGATCACTCTGTATCGCAGGTGGAGATGATGATGATCGAATGGTGATGTGTACAACTGCACGATGATTATTTCCGTGCTCAATCGGAGTCCGAATTCAAACGATTTGGCTTCAAAGAAAAGGAAGTTTGCCCACAAAAACTGCAACTACTGTGCATTTATCACGGAAACTAATTCATAACGACAAATTACGCGTCAATTTGGCCATGCCCTACCAGTGTTGGGGGGGAATTCTGCTGCGATACAATATCCATGCAAGGAAAAAAGCATGATGATTACAACGCAGTGCGGTCGGCACCATCCACATAATCAATGTGCTGTTTGGTAAACAGATCCCATCCTTGACGCTCCATACATACCGCACTGAAGTACTATGCGAGGGCGTTCTTGAAAGAGACAATACACCGATAGGAGCATATGATAAACGATTGGAGCATATGATCAACAACAGGTCTGGTTCGCTGCATTGTTGATAACAGACTTGAAAACTCTCACACACAGACTGCGGACACTCTCACGGTATGCTACAATAAGTAAGTACTTCAGTGCATGTATTAACCCTTTTGAGACCAGAGGCTCCCCTTTTCATAGTAAAA